ATCCGTGATCTGTAACTGTTTAATAGTATCTTTAACTTTACACTTATTAGCATAGTGTCCGAACTTTTGACATTTAAAACATTTAACTTTACTCATGTCGGTTTTTTTCTTAAAGTTTCTACTTTTATTCTTTCTTTTAGGCTTATCCGACCATCTTTTCTTAAAGCGGGACTTTTTCTTATAAAACTCATCATTAGATTCAGTAAAATGTCTTTTACGCTTATAATGACGTTTTTTACGCAGATGACTAGGAGACTTAACCTTATGTTTTCTAGAAGGGGGAGTATACAAACCATATTGTTCACAAAAACTGCCTAACTCATATCTTGCAGATTTTCTTTCAGACTGTATTTGTTTATTTATTTTCATATCAATGCACATTTTCATACCTTCTTGATTAATTATACTAATTATATTACCATAAGTCAGATTATCATAATCTATATGACCTAATTCATTACTTAATACAGTTCTAATTTTATGAGCAAATAAATTAGGCAATCCATTTATAAACTTTTCTTTCCAAAAGGCTTGATTACTGTCTTCTCTCAGCATTACCCGGGAGATAAAAACATCTTTATACCACCTAAAATCACTTAATTGCGGACATCTCAAATTACTCAGTTGATCATGTATTCTAGACTGTGTATGACTCGGGGTTCCTATAAAATGCTCAATTATTGTATAAAGCAAAGTATTAACACTGTCTTCTATACCTTGTCCTATATTTTCATTAAACAAAGGCAGACCTTCAGCGTCTAATTTTACTGCATGTATAATATTATTTCGGGACTCATCAGTTAAATGCTTATCCCACCAAGATCTCAGAGTTCCTGTAAAACCAGTTTCTAACAGGGGAATTATCTCAGATTGTCTTAAATTATGATTAGTACTGTAACTATTAGCAACCATAGACATGTGGGTTAATTTATTCATAATTTCTTGCTCAGACAGGCCATCTATATTCCATTCATATAATTTATCAGGAGAAACAGAAAATTGACTTAGATTATTTCTTTCTTCAAATTGGATGTCAGGCGGTGTAGGCTTAGGATACCAATTTCTGGTTAGGCTAGTAGGATTAGTTAATTTCTTGACCTTTAGCTCAGATTCTAATTCTAGGTTTTTAAACGCATTCTCAATTTTAGAAATATTACTAGACTCAACAGATTCTGTATTTGATTCAGACTCAGTGTCCGACTGTGTATCTAAAGGGACGGATGACCCTATAACTTTAACTCCAGATTTTTCAGGTTGTTCAGTTTTTAACTGTTTAAGCATTTCTTCTATTTTGTCAACTGTAGAGGATGTCTTAAGGGCGAACTTAGGCTGTAAATCTTGGAATTGGACTAGGGGCTTTTCTGCAGGCTTAATGGTAGGCTCAATAGGCAAGGATTTATCAATTTTTGTTTCAATTTTATCTAGCTGTTTTCCTATAGTAATAAGACTCTGATTTGTATAGTTATTCTGTCCAGATATATATATATATATCAATGTCTCTTTGAAATATTTCCAAAATTTAACGTCCTAAAATTAGTAATTGATCACAAAATTAAGCATTGGAGACAACCAAACGTAGGTAAGTACTTAATCCAGCTTAAGCCAATCCGAGCTAATCCAAGACAGTCTCAGGACTTAGTCCATTCTATGACAGTCCGCCGTGCCAAACAACCCCTCGAGTTCTTCATGGCAAGAGTAAAAATCAGCAACAGCTAATTCTTGCTGAATTTTCTCTCTAGAAAATCAATCTGCATAGTTAACACTCACTGAGATATTTGATTTCTCCATTGGGTACCACAAACATAGAAGAAAAAAAAGCGTTTTGAAGAAAACAAAGCCCAAAGGCATTACCTTATCGGCTTGAGTTTTCACAAATCCAGATATCCTTTGCTCCGATAACAATCTTTCATTTCTTAGTTTCCTTATAGTTCATCCTTCGCTTCCCACTCCTCATTACGAAGCTTTATCTCATCGTTAAGCTTTTGTACCACCTATGTAAGATATTATTCCACTATCAATAAATGAAAAGAAAAACAAAAGGGAAAATGGAAAGAAAAGAGAAATGAGTGGATTTATACCTCTGATTGAACTTGGGCTCCGCCAGCTTCTGTCTCCATTTGCATGACATCATTTATAGGTATTGGAAGGGCAACATAAATATCTTTACCCTACATGGAAAGCAGAAATGCATCTAAGTCAACAAAAATATATATGTAAGTGAAGAGGCATTAAAACCCCAAAAATCTGCTCAGTTTCAAATTGGAACCGTGAAGAACACCTGCTTTACCTCATTGGCTTTAGATTTCTCAATCCCAGATATTCTTTGCGTCAATAACACCATTTCATTTCCTAATACTGTCCTCTCTTCCTTGGAACTCCAAATTATGAAGCTTCTGTACCACCTATGTAAGATATCATTCCACAACAAAAAAAAAAAATGAAGAGAAAAAAAAAAAGGAAAATGGAAAGAAAAGAGTAAGGAGTGGATTTATACCTACGGCAGATCTTGGTCTCTGCTAGTGGGCCTCATGTGGACGAACACCGGAGGAAGCACAGTGAGGTAGCTGGGTTGTGGCGATAAACGCCAACCAGCACCATAGTGGAGGGAAGGACCTTGAAAACGACACGGTCACCAACTAGAAGTTGGTTCTCTCTTGCAAACGTGAGCCGCTACCCGTAGTAAGTTTCTATTATTATTTGGGTAGTTTCTCAGTAAATTTGTATTATTATTAGGATTTCAATAGTTGCTATAGCTTTGGATCTTATTTGCTTGATATTAGTTTGAACATTCAACCTCATCTCGATTTCCAAGCCCGGGACTCGCTCGCTTTCTTCAAAGACCGGGCTTTGATGATTGCAGCAACAGCGAATATGATGGAGCACAAAAGCAAACCAATAACAAGCAATAGCTTCAGAGAAGCAGTAAGGGACCCTTTGACATGTGGTTGGTGGGTGCCATTGGCAACCCCATCTTTGCACAGAACCAAATATGGACCGCAAAGATCAGGATTGCCCAGAAAGGAAGTGTAATTGAAGTAACTGAACTGACCAGTACCCGGAACCAAACCCGAAAGATTGTTATAGAAAAAGTCTACAGATGTCAAGCTTTGCATTGTGGATATGGACGAAGGGATGCTACCCACCAGATGGTTTCTCGAGAGGTTGAGGTAATTCAATATCCGCATGCCTGTAATCTCCTTCCGAATCTCGCCGACGAGCTCGTTTCGGCTGAGATCGACGAACGTCAGGAGCTTGCATTGGCTGATTTCAGGTGCGATCGGACCCACAAACCTCACCGAATTTGAATAAATCGAGGTCGTCCATCATCGGGGGCAGCGACAGGTTGAGATCGAACGACAAAGGAGAGACTCCAAAACGACGACGTCATGACGCAATCATCCCCGTAGTCAACGACGGAGGACGAGGAGTCGCAGTTGCTGTGGCAGTCATCGGGTGGGCAGGGTGCACGGGTTTCCGCCGTCGCTGAGCATCGGAGGTGGGTATGGGGAAGGGGAAGTTGGGATGGGGGTTGAGGAAGATGAGATGGGGGTGCCTTTTTCTGGGTTTGGTGCGACTGTTCCTGTTCTTGTTATTATTATTTTTGTTTTAAATTTACCTTTTCTCCAGCACAGTAAATAATTCTGGAAGAAGGAGCAGTTCATCCATGCTAACTGAAAGGATGCTTTTACCCTTAATTTTGATGGACAAATTGACAGATTTGGACGGCAGGACTTAATTGCAACTGTTTATCGAGTTAACGGATGTAATTGCCTAAAAAAAAAGTTCACGGACCCAATTGTAAAAGTGGCCATAGTTCGAGGACGTCTACAGTAATTAAAAAAAGAGGATCAAGATCAGTAAAACAAGGGCAAACTAGAAAGGAATGACTAATTTAAACTAAGGCAACTTGATCACTATCACTAACTAGTAAACAAAGACAACTAATGATAATGAAATTGATCAGTCTATTATAACTAGATTTGATAGTCTTGTCCAAAATCTACAAAACTAGCATTAGGTCCTTTACCTTCATATTTGAGAATTATACCATCAGAAGTGCCCACATTAAGGTCATCCACCATATTCGCCAAAGGAAAGGGACACCGGACCGCTGGCTTGTGATGGCCACGATATGATGTATGGGGTTTTGATCCTTTGTTCACATTTGTTTGATGAAGAGGTACGTAGAATAGCAACTTAATGATCGTTTATAAAATTAAAAAGGTCCCTAACTTGATGAATGTTTATAAAAAGTTCAACTTGGGGCAGCAATCGTTAGTTGTGAAGTCATGCATATAAGTAATTGATGAGGGTGGAAAAGAAGTTATGAATTTCCTTTCTCTCTTTTTTTCACCCATAAAACAAATGAGTAGAACTTCCCAAACATCATGCAGCTATTTGTTTGTTGAAAAGGTAGCTATAATAATACAAAGGGCTACTAACTACTATGTGTGTATATGTATATATATATATATATATATATCAATGTCTCTTTGTAATATTTCCAAAATTTAACGTCCTAAAATTAGTGATTGATATCAAAATTAAGCCTTGGAGACAACCAAATTAGGAATTTAGGATCAGATCTAAAGTACACAAATTGTGGAAGCATTTTATATTGAATTCGGTTTTCCTAAGAACACGAGAAAAGAAAATCTCGACGTTGTTTTATGCATTGAGGTCCAGTCCTTTTGATTGGGCCTCATTTGTTGGACTTTACAGCCCAAAATTTAAAACAACTTTGAAAGCTGACGCGCAAAAAACCAAAACTACCCCTAATATAAACTGAACTTGTCTCACAAAATGAAACTGAGGTTTGAGGTTGTTTCGACTTTTTTGCTTTTCACCCAGCGACCTTTTCTTCTCTTCTCCGCAAGTCGACTTCACTGCAAATAACCTCTGCAATCCACCTGCAAAGAGGCTCATAAACCCAAACTCATACTCAATTTTGGCAAACTGAGATAGACTACAAGTTAGATGCATAACCCAATTTAAAATTCATAATTGAAAGTCTGATTTCTCTGCTCTCCTCCCTGCAAAGCAAACCTAAAATGCTATCTAATTCATTAATCACAATGAGAGTGACAAGGTGCCTCTATTTGTGTATAAAGAGTCATGATTCTCTGCTTTCAGAAACCAAACCAATAGCTTTGTTCTACTTCCCTCTAACCAAACAAAGGTTTCTTTTATTATTTTCTTATATTATTTTTATAATTATATTTTTGTTCTTCTAACACATTGTTGTTTGTTTGTGTTTCTCAATCTCCACAGATGTGGAGATCAACAAGGATAGTCAGATGTGGAGAGTCTATGATTCGTAAGCTTGACAATTGCATTGATAAGAAGTTAGAGAATCATTATAACTATACTTTGAAAAAGGTTGAAGAAGACCTCAAATAGATTACTGATGTTTACATCCAGGAGTCGTCGGACATGGAAGCAGTTATGAAGCTGAGGGATGAGGGCAAGTGGCCAACAGGCACCAACGTGATTTACGAGATTAATTTACTTCAGGGTGAAAAGCTGAAGAAAGTTGAGAAAATAGCCGACCGTGTGGGCCTCAAAATGAAGGAAGTAAGGAACTGGTATGACGTGAGCGTTACAACCATCTAGTAAATGAGTTTTTGTTGTTGTTAAAATACACTTAGTGCCATCTTGGGGTCTCTTTTTCTGAGAGGGACTTGACCATCTAGTAAATGAGTTCTAAAGTTCTATTTTTGACTTTTGTAGAAAGAACCAGAAAAGGGTAAAAGGGCAGAGCCAGGATATGCAGCGAAAGAAGGTGGATATGAGCCGGCAGACATTGGAAAAGGAAGTAGTAACTGAGAGCTATGGAATGAGTGTGGAAGGGGAGAGAGAAGCACCAACTATGAGTTAAAAAAAAAAGAAGCCTTAAAACTATTTGCTTATTAGAAATGCTAAGTAGTGTTTTATGTTTTTTTTAAAAATGTTTTTTGAGTAATGAAGACTATTGGTATGTAGTATGTATTGGTGATATAAGTTTCTAAGTGCAAGTCTTTATATATAATTTCTTAACGAGAAACGGTCTCTTTCAGTTTGTTTGTTCCAATGAATTATAGATTCCCTCTCTCCTTTCTCCTTTCTCCTCTCTCATCTTTCCTCTTTCCTCTCTCTATTGGGCATTGGCTTGGGCATGAAAGAGTTTCCTACTTGGGCCTCACCTCCACCACGAGCAAAAACCCTCTTGGATTCCTTCATCTATGTACTCTATGTCCAATTTCAACAAAAATATTTCCTCTCATTTTTCTTTGTAAAGTTTACAATTGATTCGATTCAACTACCTAAGTAAGAAGAGTAAATAATAAATGGACATTAATTTCCTAAGCAGTAATGGTTGATAAGTTGGATAGTTGGTGTTGTTCAAGTCAACCAAGTCAAATTCTTTAGTTTTCTGGGATGCCATGTGATACAACATTAATTATTTTCCTTGTTTCTTCTGAGCAACCAAATTAAGCAAATGGGTTTGTTGTGTGTTTCTTTGTGATTAAATGTTATAGATGCTATTGTCCACAACTGGAGATCCTACGTAGTACGACTCATTAATCTCATTAACTTCACTGTTGCTACTGAACGCGTGGAAAAGTTCAAATTTTATCACATCAGTAGTAATTTGAAGCCCAGATGCATTGATTCGAAATGCAATGGGGTAGGTGGACATGAATGACGAATGAGCATATCTATATCGACAATTCGCGGCCACCCAAAAATCTCATCATGATGATGATGATGATGATGATGATGATGATGATGATGATGATGATGATGATGTGTTGTTGATATTGCTGCTCCTCCTCCTTCTTATGTTAACCGAATATCCCACAGTATGGTAAATAATTTCTGATGTGTTAGCTTTTGGACCTGTGAGCCAAAACTTTTGGATTCTTTGTTGTAAAGTGCATTTAGAAACAAGGACAAATAAACCGTCCTTACTAACTATCATCCCTAGCGGCAAAGGAAGTCATCTTAACAACATTGTTACTGCTTTTGTTTGTGGATCAAATTTCAACAGTTTTCCAGTTGCGTCGTGCTCAACATTTGCTTATGCATGTCACTGCAGACATACATACAGTCCTATGTTTAATTATGTACAATGTCATAAGCAAATTACAATTTTTTATGTGAAAGACTAAGGTGAGAATTGTCTTGTGAAACACATATGGATTGGTTTTGTTAGCTTTACAGCATGTTCATATATTGTATTATTATGATACAAACTTGTAGGATTGCTACAACTCTTGTTTAATATGTTTTACACCTTTATGAGTTACTAGCATAGTTTGATTATGATTTCTACTTTTGCACATGAGTTTGTGTTCCACTAGGATTGAGTGTGAAACGCTTCTTACAGGAATGACCACTGGCCAGCGAATAATAAAATGACGAGACCTAAAATAGTTTGCTGGATCTTAAAGTAATTAATATTACAGCAACATGGCATTGCCAAACTAGAAAGAAATTATCAGTTTAAACTAAGACAACTTGATCAACGTCACTAACTAGTAAGTAACTACTCAATCAATCATCCATATAGGAAACAATTTAACTAAGACAAGTAAACAATTTCATCACATGATGATGAAATTGATCAGTCCACTATAACTAGATTATGATATTCTTGGCTAGAAATGGCAACTTCCATGGCATGTTCGGGGCCAAAATCCCCACCATTGTCTAGGAAGAATTTGACCAAATTGTTGTTGACGAAGCCACTCAACATGGTGAAGCCTAAGCCTGGTTGTGTATTAGGCATCCCCAGCACAGACATGTGTGCCCTGATATTCCAATACACAATATGTGGCACCACATCCCCATATTCCTTCTCCTTAAACTTTCTTTGCATTTCCTCAAAATCACTAGTCTCCCATATATTATAGGCCCCCTAGAGGGAGTGAACACATACACCATGTCGATCATCTGCTCCGGCTTCAAATTCTCATCCACAGCCACTTTCAGGATAAAATCAAACACCTTTTCAAAATTAACCTCAACATCCCAAGGGCCTAGTTTTTTTTGTCATAAACTTGTAATTGGACTTAAGATCATCGCCTTGTATGGAAACCAGCCGAGGGTTCTCACTGTAGGCTCACCTTTCCATTCCATGGTTCTTTACTCTGTTGAGACAGTAGAAGCCCCAAACCCACCGACACTTCGTTGTTTGACCCGACATCACATACAACCAAACACTTTTTAAACTTGCCTTGCTTTAAGTAGATGTCCTCCACCATGGTCTTCCACTGAAGATCAGCCGCAGCCATTAGATCATGCACGTTGTCATCTTCATTATCCATCCTTCTTTTAAGATAGCCTATGATCTCATTTAGAAGCAGAGCACCGCTCTTAATCTTGGACTTGCCGGCTTTGTTGACGTCCTCCAAATAAGTCTCAACCGCGCAGAGCTCTGGCTTGAAACCCGGATCATAACCCCATTTGTTGCCACCGGTATAAGTCGGGTGGCCAAGGCTTTGTTCAATGGCACCAAAACCTTCTTCCACAACTGCTTCCTGACTCTGTAC